ATATTTTCTTCCTTTAATAAATCTTCATCTGAAGAAGAAGACATTTCTGTGGGGATGGTTGAAGAAGAACTACTAGTAACCAGTTCGGCCAAATGGCTGACTGATGGTTTAATTAATTTAGATGGACCAGCAACACTGATTTCATCAATTTTTCTTTTAATAGGCTCTCTTTGTTGTTCTACTAAAGGTCCAAGATTTTGTAGTGGAACACCTACCTCGACTTTTCTTTTAGTAGGCCCGTCTTGCGGTTGCACTAAAGGCCCAAGATGTTGGTGTGGAATTACTTCCTCTCGCAATTGACATCGTGTTCCACATACAAGCTGGAGTTCCCTGTAGTTAATTATATCATTCGGACACTAAAAAAACAACATTTTTAAATAAAAAAAAGTAAATATTAACAAAAAGAGAGAAGGGCACTTATGTTTTTTTTTTAATTGTATTTGTAACTAGTTTTGTCCATAAATGTATCATCAGGCTAAAAATAATATGTTACAACCATATAAAAACTAAATTAAGTAAGGTAATGTAATTATTAATTTGATACAAAGTTCACAAATTAATGAACACTGGATGAAGTTCTGTTTAGTCTCATTTTTGTAACAATATGTTTAGCCCAATGATGCATATTTAGGCCAAACTAGTAGTTACTACAAATTTTAATAAGTGACTTATGAGTTTATTTTTATCTTTGTTATTACTTGAACCATTGTGAGAATGGATAATGTATACAAATTTCATAATATTGCCATTTTTAGTTAAAAAAAAATATCAAACCCAAAAAGTAATAAAAGTACATACATCAAAATGATCTTCACAGCAATGATAGCGTCCTCCTTCTTTAGGAACATTTTCTTTTCCAACAGCTGCAAACCATATCTTTTGTTTTCCCCAATCTCTTGGAATCGTTAAGAACATCTTGTTGCAGTTTGATGATTTGTTTTTGCAATTTGGTACATAACAATTCTTTGCCATTTTAATATCTGAAACATAATTTAGGTATGTTAATTCTTTATGCTTACCAATATTTTTCTATTATTTAACTTGAATTAGTTTTGACCTATATATAAAAATATCTAGCACTGCATTCAAAGTTTTAGGAAATTATGTATTTTATTTTCAAACAGAAATAATCTTATTTAATACATACCAGATATTTTTCCACACAGCGCGTATTCAATAATATAAATACTTATAACTAATATTGTGCAAACCAAATAAAACACCTAATAAATGAAATATGAAATACAAAATACAGTAAAAAGTAAAAGTAAACAGAACAGAGTCCAAGCGTCAACAAAATGTTACTGAGGTTAACTGGTTAACGTCATGTGTTAAAGTAAATTTAAAAGAACAAAGCGTTGTATGAAGATATTCATACAACGAACAAAGCTATAATCTTGGCAACACTGTAGAAAGTAAAACAGTAATCATTGGTTAAGAAGCGGCGCGTTTTTCAAAATCTATTACTTATTGCCGATTTTTGTTATTTAATGAATTTTATAAAAAAAATTAAAATTAACATAAGCGACTAGGTCCCTTAAAGTAACTATTCATTAACCTAAAACCAAGAAATTCTTTCCTACTGGATGAGTCCATTAATTGTGAACCTACCTACCTACCATAATTTTATTTCTCTTAAAATGACCACACTAGAGCAATATACTCTTCTTCCATTATAATCTAGCAGTTTTTTTTTTTCATTTCTATGACAATATGTAAAAATGACTCACAACAATAAATTGCAATTGTTGGGAAGTATTAGGTGTATTTTTTGGGGTGTACGGGGATCATGTAGATACATAATATAAAAACAAACAATTGAACAATCCTTGCTATAATTTATATACATTTTCTAGAAAACTTCTGAATATAACCATATAATAATCATGGTATTGATTTTTTGTATATGAAATAAATAGTTTGAGGCAAGGCGCGTCTTGGAAATTGTACTGTGCCAACAACTTAGTTCAGGTTAAATCGAGGCACATGTGAATTATTCACGAATGGGACATTATGCCCTTTCGAATGCATATTGTTTTATTTTATTATTAGATGTGGTGGAACCGCTACGACTAATAAGTGTGACAATACCGCCCGGACAAATATCTAAGATAATACGGGGTGCAGTGTCCAGGAAAGGAGGAGACAATCGCCGACACGTGCGAAGGTCATAAAGGACAAATCAGTCAGGTTTCGACCGGTGGCCGAACTATATTGATTAAGAAGTAAAAAAGGGTTGTTAGCCGACGTTATTTGTGATTTTGTTCTATTTGTTGCCTCATGGGCGTTGTATTCTTATTAATATACTACGGTGTTACATTAAGTAGTGTTATTATATCCCAAAACCGAACCCCGTCTGAGCTAGCCATCGCACAGATGACTGCCAAAATTTGCAGTAGGCTCTTGTGGTATTAGGTACCTGTAATATTACACTGGCAAACTTTTTCCTATTAATGTAAGACTGTCCATGTACCCTAGGTTTTTCACTTCCTCCAAATAGTCTCATGTAGCCTTTCCAATGTTAAATCGACCATAAATACAACGGAAAGTTTTGTTTGTTGTGAATTATATTAATATAATAATAGAAGTAATAATAGTACATTGTAGAATTTTAATTTAGTTATTCCTTTTATTTGTCTCTTATTTGTACCCCATCTTATCTTTTTTTTGAAAAAGTTACTTAATTCATATACATAATATGTACCTCTTACCGATAAGAGTCCGGTATTCCAAAATACCATAATTCCACCAATAATTAGGCATTTGGAGATATAGTATGCCTCCTCTGTCCAAAATATAAGTGCTACTCTCATCTTTAATTTTATTGAACGTAAATTCAAATGTTGTTCTACTCATTCGAAAATTTTCCATGAACTCTTCATTACTGTAACTCTACTAGATTAATATTGGTACATACCTATATTGCAAAAAATATATTGTTTTCATTTTAGAGCCATCAAGTTTAGAAAAAAGTGACATGATAACTCCTCCTTTGTTATCATCAACTACACCTACACAAACAGCATCGATTCTGAGATCTTATACTCCTCGAAAAGCTAAACTTCGATACAAAGTTAACTTACTAAAAAATAAGATTTTAACCAAAAAACAAACTGATGCTTCAGAAAAACGAAAGCGCTTTCAGCTGCAGATATTTCACAGTTTGTGCGACAAATTTCTTAACAAACCTCTTTCAGATATTGTAAAATTACAGTCTCTACTGAAAAATAAAGAGTCGAAAGGAAGAAGATATAGCGAAGAATATAAAAAATTCGCTCTTACTCTGTACTTTTTTTACTCCAAAAAGTTACAAATTTAATTTTGCCCTCCAAGCGCACCCTGGAATTAACGACGCGAAATTTTATTTGTAAACCTGGATTACAAAATGAACATATCTTTAATTCTTTAAAACTCAAAGTGAAAACAATGTCAGAGTTAGATAAATATTGTAATATCTGTATAGATGAAACTTCTCTGAAGTCAAATTTATATTTTGATACAGGTCGAGACAAAATTGTTGGGTTACAAGATATAGGAAATAATGCAAATAACTCTCTCGTTGCTCAGAATGTCGCTGTTATTATGGCTAGGGGTTTGTTTCATAATTGGAAACAACCAATAGCATACTTTTTTATAAACACACAGCTTAAGGCTTTGGACATTCAAAAAATTCCCAATGAATGCGTACACAAACTATCAAATGTTGGATTATACGTAAAAGGTCTTGTTACTGATATGTCGCACATCCCATTCAAAAGTGTATCAAGTAAAAAAAAAAACATAAAACGGGATTATCTCAGTAGCATGTAGTAAAACACCGAAACTTTCTCCGTGCAAAACCGTATTTAAGTAAGTTTAACTATTGTTTACTAGATGGCGTCACTTGATTTGTCTTATATCAAAACTGGCACCAGTTCCTCATGCAAAACAGTATTATTTTGGCGTTAATAGGGGATGGATCGTGTGTTCCCCTTCAAAAGAGTATTAACTTAAAAAGTGCGGTTATAAAATAAGAATTGGAAATAATTTTTTAGTGGAAAAGTGCATCAATCCAATTTACTATTCTATTCTTCTAAAAGCAAGGTAAGTACGTGGACAATTTTTTGGATTAAAACTGTATCATTTCAAGTTAATACAGTTTTTTTCGGAATGCGCAATATCATAATTATATTTAGGTTTATTTATAAAGGAGTATTATATTGGTTTAAGACGCTTTTGCTCGAGAATAATACAAAATATTAGAATTGCGTTAAGAAAAAAGTGCCTCGTTTTGAGTTTATGAAATTATTATGGTTATAAAAGGACACTTTTTCGATTTATTATGCTTTTTCTCGAGCGAGGTTGTATTTTGATTCAATTCTTTCTACTGAAAAACAAGAAAATTAATCAAGAAAATCATAATTACTTCAAGAAAAAAATTATAACGTAGGTACGACTATTAAAAATACATTTTTCTTTGTGTCTTAGAATGTCAATCAGTGCAAGAACTTCTAGAATTTTCAAGGCTGCTGCTGAAGTAGTTGCAACTGAATTGCAACTTGCTGAGCCAGTTTGTGGAATCCAAAATGATTTGACGACATCTGCAAATAGCGCTAGTCCTCATTATAATGCAGAAAACTTGTCCGAAAGTGATATATTTTTAAATGATTCTCAAATCAATGCTGCGAATTGTGCTGCATCTCAGAATTATACCGCATTAAATACTGAGTCCACACACATTGATGGAATCCAACAAAATTTAACATCGATACCTGTCAGTACTTCTAGCCTTAATAATAATCCAGAAACTTTGACCAAAAATAATGGGTTAAATGATAACTCTGTGGTAAATGCTGAATCTGAATTTTGGCCTACACCTCAGAACTATACGCCATTAAATACTGAATCGAATAAATACACTTCATTATCAATCAATCATGAAAAATTTCAAGAAGCTTCTGATGCCCCAATTTCAAATTTCAAATACACTCTAAGAAAGACTGAGAGACACCTTAAAAAATATGACTACAAACACAAATGAAAGTGGAACTGAAAGCGAAGATGATGACGATAGTATTAAAGATCCCAATTTTAAAAGTTCTTCAAGTTCGAGTAGGTCAAGTTCAGATTCTTCTTCGTCGTCTGATGAAGAAATTGGCCGAGAAGTCTTGAGGGAAATAGTTGCGACGAGAAACACTGAAGAATTACACGAAGACTTGGAAAATAATGCTGCAAATGGAAAGAAATCTAGGAAAAGAATTCGAAACGAAAATAAGTGGAACAAAAACAAGATAAAGAGATTAAGAAATGCTGGCAAGGAGTACATTTCATCAGCAAAATCCAAAAGTGTCGTCGCTGCTAAACAAGTAAAAGAGCCTTGTGGTGAAAAATGCCAACACCAGTGTTCTAAGAAATTTGACAGGGAACAACGTTCACAACTATTCAATGCTTATTACAGCCTCGAGAATATTGATAGAAAGCGTGATTTCTTATCAAAGCATATGGAATTAATTACACCAAAATATCGTTATGTTAGAGCTGCCAGTAACCGAAGACTAAATATTGCTTTTTATTTCAAAACCTCTGATGGCAAAAAACTAAGGGTTTGCAAGAAATTTTTCAAAAATACGCTTAATATAAATGATAGGACAGTACTTACAGTTATCGGGCATTGTTAGTGCAGATGGAAGAGGAAAACAATTTTTTCTCATTAATCATTATTAGGTTAAATAATTTTTAATTTCTCGCAGCTTTTCCCTACTTCTAAAAAATTCATAAGGTAAGCTGACCTTGGGCGGGATTCTAAAATCACGATTCGATACAAGTCATTATCGATTAGACGATTCTAGTGATTCTAAATTCACTTTTGCACATCTGTCTAGATAACAATGCCGATATCGAATTACCTCTCGTTATCGAATCGTGTATCGAATCGTGATTTTAGAATCTCCCAGCTCATTGCATAACATCATTCGGCAACAATAAAATATTCCACCTGCCCAATGTAGAACGCCATAAGCACCTGTCAAAACTATCATCGAATGACATCGTGCGGGAAATTGGCTTATCCAGTATTACGATGCTGCTATTCCATTAGCTTTCATTTGTTTCTTAAATTTCAGGTGGCCAGAGCATTAAAATCAGGACATATCTTTGTTCCTGATCAGTTTGTAATGTTGATAAGTGTAGCAAAGAAAAAAGGATCCTCATATTTTGTGAAAGAATTATCACACGACGATTTTGTCGATGTGAAAGTAGCTTATGGCTGATACTGGGATAAATTTTAATGTAAATACCAAGGGAGAGCAAGTCTTTATTAGTAACCTTCGAATTGTGAGAGTTGAGAAAAACCAGCCATTTCTGTTTTTTTTACAAAATGTCGTATACAGAATCTGAGGAATGGAAATCGGTGGATGTTCGTGGAAATGCAATGGTGAAAAAAACTACCAGACGCTCAGAATCTGCAAGCACTCGGTTCAACACCTTGCCAACTCTGAAGAAAGCTTACAAATATAAGCTTACAATTAATGAAAATAAAAAAAAAGAATTGAAATTTGTATTGGAAAAAATTTTATACCAAACTATTACAAAGGCTTTTACGAATCATTATTTTAGTTATGTTAGTTGACTGTTACTTTAGTTACTTATTTTTTGTTAATCAATAACTAATTAGTATTAAATTGGTAGTTAGTCTCCAAGATTTTATTTTTTTACTTTCTTTTTTAGAAATATATTTGTTTTGTTTCAAGAAATTTGTATTATTTCTCATATTTTTTAAGAAAATGTAGCAATTTCTTTTCAGTTTATTATTATAATCAATATTATGCATAGAAAATAAAGAAATTATAAAACTCAACACAAAAAGTATTTAAATATTTTGTGAGAAAAGTGTATCATCTCAAATCAAACTTAACTTTTGAGACTTCTAGGAAAAATGGAGGATTTTTTAGAGTGTGGTTTTGTAAGCATACTCAGTCAAATAAAAACGAAGCATGATATATCTAAGTCTAATATTGAATGCAAAATAAAAAAACAATGTATCAAAATTTTGTTTTGCTTCTCCTGTAAAATTTCACATTTTTGACTTAATACGGCTTTGAATGGGGTGTGCGATGTGATTTAATTTTATTCTTCTTGCAAATTTGTTAAATGTTACACCGGATAATCCGCAGTTTAACACAGGTGATTTTAATTTGATATATTTTTTTGATACTCCGCATTTACAAAAAGCAACAAGAAATAATTTAATGCGAAACACATTGTTTCATAAATAAAAAAAAAAACATCTGGGGCCATATTGAAAAATTTTATATGGAAAATAAAAAGCAGCCATACAGATTCACACCCAAACTTAGTGATGCTCACATTTTTCCTTCCAATTTTCAGAAAATAAAAGTTAAACTTGCGCCCAAGTGCTAAGTAGAACAGTTGCTTGTGGGATGCAAACTTAGATAAGATTAGGAACTCTGCCTATCGAAGCCGATGCCACAATTGAGATTATACAGAAATTTGTTAGTTTGATTTATTAAATTCAGTACAGAATTGTATTTACAGGGTCAGATTTCCAAGTAGCATATTTAAATGAAATGTGGTTATTTTTAAAAAAATGAAAAATATGCAATAAACAAGGCCAGGATGTCACCCTAAAATGCAAATTTCGTTCTTGTTGGATGATAACCATAAAGGCGGTTCTAGCACTTTGGCAACAGCTTTCTACCTTAGGAAAATTATTTTGGCAGTGTTAGGCAGCATCAAGGCAATTTCGTAAATCCAACTCCTATAGAATTTCAGCGGGCTTTCACAAAACTTTTTTGTCAATCTTTTTTGCATTCAAATCATATGAATTGAGCTGACGACCTAGGGTTTTTTTTAGAACATTTAAAAAATACCAAACCTACTATTGTTTGGCAAACTTATACACCGGCAAATAAAATCAATGCAATTGCGCTACCAGAACGAAAACTTGCCAACACAAAATGCGAGCAGTTATGTCTACTTGATTAATAAAGCTCTTTAAATACATAAATGTTCCATTTGTTTACAGTTTGCAAAGGAATCGGATATTGTAGATAATAATTTATTTTTACATTTTAAAAACTATACTATTAACAGTGAGACTGGGGGCAGCTTAAAATCGCCAATTGAAAGATTTGTTCAGTTTGTTTATAAATTAGAAAATATTTTTATAACATTATTTGATACTCCCTCAGAATATTTAATAAAATTATTTATAAGACTAAAAATATTCTATACTTTAAAATATGCCAATCGAGATTTATGCAGTTCAAAAAAATCAGACAAAACAAATTGGAAATTAAAAATTTTATTTCATCTGTAATGCCCATCATTTTGTATTTCAATTATATAAGCTAAGTATATTTTCAATAGCACTATCTATATTGTTTGATTTCTCCCTATTCCTAATTTTATAGTGGGTTGGTGCAAAATAATACCTAACATTAAAATGAAACGTAAAATAGCTTTTGTGCAATAAATCTAGACCCTCCGTTTCAAGGTCATTCAATTTTGATCGGCGATATAGCGGCTCTTTCGCATCTGTACTGTGTTTATTTGTGATATGATTCAGACCTGTATAATCAAAATTGTTATAATTAAATATTTTAGTTTTTAGGTGGCCGTCCATATCTGCAGGCCGGAAGGTGGTCAAACTGGAAATGCTATATTTTTGTTGAAAACCACCGTCCTTAATGTTTATATATAGTTCAGTGTTGACAACGGGTAATATAAGTGAATATATATTAGGGCGATTCGTTTTGAACGACTATTTTTTTTTTTCGCTCCCGCAGCAAAATATCGTTCTGTACACTGAAAGAAAGACCCTGTCCAAAGCGGAGCTCTTAATTTTAATTCTAAGTACTTTTTTTGGAAGATTTCCCATCTAAAATACACGTAAACTTGGATTTTTTTTTTAATTTTTTATATCTCTGCGGCATTTCATGGTATCATCATACCCATAGATAGCTTTTCTTCAAAATTGAACGCTCTACAAAAGTCCCCATTGCAGCGAAATCGTAACTCACACTTGTGAGGTATTACGGGTCACTAAATCTGATGTTTTTATGAAATTGGCCATTATCTCGTAAACAACGAGAGCTACAGAAAAAATTCAAATGATGAATTTTTAGGAAATTCAATTTCCTACAAAAATGGTCCTGTGAGTGAAAGCAATACAATTGATAGTTTAAAAGATATTCACCATTTTGAAAAATAATTTGCTGAAAATCAATAAAATTGCAATTTTTACGTCTTTTAAATCACAAAAACAATTAAATAACTTATTTTTTTATTATAATTATCATTACTATAATTGTCGAAAACCGTAACATGACACTAATTATATTGATTGACATAAATAATTGAATTTTGCTCTATTTCTGGTAAAAATTGAACCAATAAATCGAACATAGAGATTTTCAAATTATTTCATTTTTATTGTTATACTACTGACAGTAATATCATTAATAACAGTTATAATAATTATTATTAAAATGAACAAAAATCTTATTTATTGTTCTCATAAAATACGTTATCAATTTTTCGATTAAAATATTTTACATTATTTTATTTAAGAAATTTATGATGAAGCATCAGGTGATACAAAGTTTTGTTTGTTACACGTTGGATATTTCTTACGGTGCTCTTGAACAATTTGGAGAATATATTGTCGTTGTTCTTCATCGTGGGTTAAAGAGTTGTTGTACTTTTCAATTAATGCCACTCCTCGTTCCGCAGTGTCATTTACTACTTGTAATTGCTTAAATGTCTCGAAATATTTTTTATAATTCTCGTTCGAATCCCACGACTCAGGATCGATGTCAATGAAGTCCCAAGATAACTCAAACTGCTTGAAAATAAATAATGACTCTTTACTGACAAAATTACTAATCTCTTTTTTTGAAAATGAAACATAATCTTTTTTATTTTTTATTGTGATACGTTTTCCGGAAAAATTGGAAGAGTCTTTGGTCTTTAGTGAATCGACCATTTTCAATTTTTGCTCACGTGAAACTGATGGGTCAAATAGCGCTAAGACAGCAAGGTGTTCGTGTAAGTACCAGAAATGAAGACATAATTTTTCAAGTGCAGCCGAAGCTATCCTAAGGTGAATTTTTTTGTAGGCTAACAAATTTTGAAATAACCGGAAATCACCATAACGATGGCTTAATTCTAACAAGTTGTAACCCACAATTTTTACGAATTCACGTTTTTACGTTAACTCAATAGAAAAAGATGGATACTATCGTTCACTAAAACCTCCTGTCCCAAATAAAATTATTTCTACTTGATTCCCGCGATTTCTAACAAGTCCTAACCCGCACGATACACGTGTCAGGAGACGACGAGAAATAACCCACAGTAGCGTTAAAGAATGTGTTGTGTATGCACGTACAAGTGTAATTTAGCTGACAAGTAATCGAAAAACAAAAAAGTAAGTATATTTTTGAAGTATTAGCACTTTGTAGGGTACCAACTTTATTTTTATTTATTTACTATATAAGCAACATTACTTAATTTTTACTAAAATATGCCCTTAAAATGTTGTTGTTGGATACGATCTATTAGAACTAAATACATGCTTTGGTTTTTATGAGGGTTACGTCCTATTTTTCGAAGCCAAAGTAGTGTGTCACCCAAAGTTCTGTTGTTATTCAAATTA